ACCTCCTTTTTCTCTATGCCCTCAATTTCTTCTTATCATTCAAGTTTAGTGGGTGAAGAGGGGGGGAACAGGCCATCCCACCCCCCAAACACCCCTCTTCAAAAAAAAATCTTCACCGTGAACATATGAAAAAATAAACACATATATCATTGTCATTCAAATTAGGTACAAACATTAAACTTAAACCAATTTCTAAAACAAACTTAAGCTTCACACACTTAACTCTAAATAGTGAAAATTATGACCTGGATGATACGCAAATGTCATTTCTTATTTTTGAAAAAAAATTTTCTCAAAATTCATCTGCTTGACCTTTCCATCAGATATGCTTTTCAGACTTTTGGTCTACCATAAGAAATTTTTTACAAGTTTTGACAAATTTAACCTGTACGACCATGAATATGGTTCAAGGTCTTTTTTTTTTTTTGCAAACTTTGTCATGCTCCATACTAGGAACATATATATTATACTTCTGGGCCTTTTGGCTAACAAATTTGACTCCTGTGACCTTGACCTTGTTTGGGACTCATGCTTATTGGAAAAAAGTCTTTAAAATGGAACTAGAGGCCCAAGGGCCATAAGGGTCACCTGAGCCACAATGCTAATTGAAACATTTCATAGAAATTATTTTGTTAAAAAGAGCAATACAACTTAAATTATATTGTACACATAATGCAAATGAATTGTGTATACATTAACTGTTGTACTATGCTTAGCATTCCAGATTTGAATTTTCCGATATAAAATCTTCCATCAAGGATCAACAGAACATCTTCGAAAGTTCAGTCAATTTTACCCTTTTTTGGCACATCAACCCCTTTAAGGTCAGTCAAGACAATATGTGCATTTCATCAAACTGTCAGCTTAGAGTAATACAAATTAATTCTAACACACTTTGAACTATTTGTGAATGAAAATAAACAAATCATGCTCAAAAAAGTAACTTTCCTATATAAAATATAGTAAATTTTGCCCCCCTCCCCAAGGGAAAAGGTGATACCCTGAGGTCATGAATTTTTTTTATTTATTTTTGTTAAGTGCTATAAGAAACTTCAATCCATGATGAGTATTTGATTATCTAGGTAGTGAGATGAAGATTTTTGAAATTTCAGTCAATCTGACACAATTTTGGCCCCACACAACAGCCCTTGGGGGTCAGCTGAGGTCAATATGTGCATTTCATTAAACTGTCATTTTAAACTAATATTCATCACCAGGTTTTCATATATAAAATATATAAATATTTGTAAAAGGGGGATAAAATATTTAATCCATGAAATAAAGAGATGCATTTGTACCAAATGTCCTTTTACATCCAGATTGCCAAATTTTTAATTTGTCAAAACACAATCCATGAAAATAATCAGCGAAATGGCAAGCATCAAAGATGTGAACTTTAACCCTATTCTACTGATGCCTAGAGGTGACCAAGAATAGTCATATTTAAAGTAAATAAACAAACGTGCCTAGAGGTGACCAAGAATAGTCATATTTAAAGTAAATAAACAAACGTGCCTAGAGGTGACCAAGAATAGTCATATTTAAAGTAAATAAACAAACGTGCCTAGAGGTGACCAAGAATAGTCATATTTAAAGTAAATAAACAAACGTGCCTAGAGGTGACCAAGAATAGTCATATTTAAAGTAAATAAACAAACGTGCCTAGAGGTGACCAAGAGTAGTCATATTTAAAGTAAATAAACAAACAAAAAAGTGAAAAATTATTTCACTGTTCAACTAACAGATCCTTCACTTTGATAAGCCTTATTATATGGCTTTTTGAGAATCATTGAAAACCGATACAAAATCACTCAATAATCAAACATCCAAGATGTTTTTTATCAAAGCTGTAATTGACCAAGTCAAGCCAATTAAGTAGAAAAGTAACATCTCATTATCCCTTTTGATTGACAAATACATGTATATCTGACAATTTAGTACAGAATATCCCAGACAAGCTGAGTCAGGAAATAAAAAAAACAGTTCATCATGATAAATATTTGTTTTGGGTAAAGAATAGGCCCTAAGCTCACCGAATCACCTGTTTGTGATATGATCTACAAGTTATGAATCATAGCAGTGTTTTTTCTTCAGTGTAGAAGTGATACTGTATGTGTCCTCAGGGTAGGCTCAACACAGGAAGTTAAATATCAACTTTATTGCAGCAAGGAAATATCTCTACGATAAAAACTACAGATGGTACCAATTTACTGTGTCTCTGTATACTGTATCTACCAGCCAGATCTCTGTATCAACTAGCTGTATCTCTGTATCTACTAGCTCTATCTCTGTATCTGCTAGCTCTATCTCTGTATCTACTAGCTCTATCTCTGTATCAACTAACTGTGTCTCTGTATCACTGTGTTTATTAGCTGTATCTCTGTATCTACTAGCTGTATCTCTGTATCTACTAGCTCTATCTCTGTATCAACTAACTGTGTCTCTGTATCACTGTATCTACTAGCTCTATCTCTGTATCAACTAACTGTGTCTCTGTATACTGTATCTACCAGCCAGATCTCTGTATCAACTAGCTGTATCTCTGTATCTACTAGCTCTATCTCTGTATCTACTAGCTCTCTACTAGCTCTATCTCTGTATCAACTAACTGTGTCTCTGTATCACTGTGTCTATTAGCAGTATCTCTGTATCTACTAGCTGTATCTCTGTATCTACTAGCTCTATCTCTGTATCAACTAACTGTGTCTCTGTATCACTGTATCTACTAGCTCTATCTCTGTATCAACTAACTGTGTCTCTGTATCACTGTGTCTACTAGCTGTATCTCTGTATCTACTAGCTGTCTACTAGCTGTATCTCTGTATCTACTAGCTCTATCTCTGTATCTACTAGCTCTATCTCTGTATCAACTAACTGTGTCTCTGTATCACTGTGTCTACCAGCTGTATCTCTGTATCTACTAGCTCTATCTCTGTATCTACTAGCTCTATCTCTGTATCTACTAGCTCTATCTCTGTATCAACTAACTGTGTCTCTGTATCACTGTGTCTACTAGCTGTATCTCTGTATCTACTAGCTGTATCTCTGTATCTACTAGCTGTATCTCTGTATCTACATGCTGTATCTCTGTATTTACTGACTGTATTACTGTATCTACATGCTGTATCTCTGTATTTACTGACTGTATTACTGTATCTACATGCTGTATCTCTGTATTTACTGACTGTATTACTGTATCTACATGCTGTATCTCTGTATTTACTGACTGTATTACTGTATCTATGCCCTGTATCGACTAATATCTCTGTATCACTGTGTCTACTAGCTGTATCTCTGTATCTACTAGCTGTATCTCTGTATCTACTAGCTGTATCTCTGTATCTACATGCTGTATCTCTGTATCTACATGCTGTATCTCTGTATTTACTGACTGTATTACTGTATCTATGCCCTGTATCGACTAATATCTCTGTATCACTGTGTCTACTAGCTGTATCTCTGTATCTACTAGCTGTATCTCTGTATCAACTAGCTGTATCTCTGTATCTACTAGCTGTATCTCTGTATCTACTAGCTGTATCTCTGTATCTACATGCTGTATCTCTGTATTTACTGACTGTGTCTCTGTATCACTGTGTCTACTAGCTGTATCTCTGTATCTACTAGCTGTATATCTGTATCTACATGCTGTATCTCTGTATTTACTGACTGTATTACTGTATCTATGCCCTGTATCTACTAATATCTCTGTATCACTGTATCAAATTGCTATACTTCTATAGATATATGGAACAGTCCTGTTAGTAAAGGTCTCTTCACTACAGACATAATTAGACTGAAGTATATTTTGATAACAATAATTGGAACTGTCAAAGACAATTTCCATCACCACTAGTCATCTGTTACTGATCCTCAGCCAGATAATGATAGGAAGGGCACTTCATTCTACACCAAGATCAGAACTTACTCACTGTTTGTTTTCTCTGCTTATTTGTATTGATGACAAACATTTATCAGGAAAATGATGTTTAAAACCATCAATGGTAAATATGTCAGTAGTTTGATTACAATAAATAAATCTATCCCGGCAATGATAGTTAAATAATGCAGCACAGATTCTACGAAAACTGAAGGAGGGGGTTTGGAATTCAGATGAGGGTAGGTGTGGGAATAGGGATGGAGATGAGGAAGTGGGGGGGGGAGGTGGTGGTAAGGAATAGGGAAAATGGGTGAAGGTTAGGGATGGTAGGAGGTGGTTAGGGTAGGAGACAGGGGTGGTGGTGGTTGTAGGAGGTTGGGCAAGGGGATAGAGGTTGAGGAAAGAGGAGAAGAGTAGGGGATGGATAAAGGGAATAGAAGTAGGGCAACAATGATGAGGGTAGGGTGTGGGGAAAGGAAATGATAGGACAGGATAGAGAAACAGGAGGTGGGTAGCAGTGTGGGGTGAGGGTAGAGGCAGTGTATGATAAGGTATCATAATAAATGTGGGAAGACTGGTACTGAGGGCAGAGTAAGGGGTGGGGCAAGAGTAGGTTAGGAAAGGGATTGTAGTAAGGGATAGGGTGAAGGTAAGGATAGGGGCTGTGGTAAGGGGTAGTGGGTAGGTTAGGAAAGGGTTGTAGTAAGGGGTAGAGGTAGGGGTAGGTTATGATAGGGTTGTAGTAAGGGGTAGAGGTAGGGGTAGGTAAGGTTAGGGGTTTTAGTAAGGGGTGGAGGGTAGGTCATGATAGGGTTGTAGTAAGGGGTAGAGGGCAGGTAAGGACAGGGGGTGTAGTAATGGGTAGAGGTAGGGGTTAGGACAGGAGTGTGATAAAGGGTAGGGGTATGTTTCGATAGGAGTGCAGTAAGGTGTGGGGTAAGTTGGGATAGGGATATGGCAAGGGTTAGGGTTTGATCGGGATAGGTATATAGGTACAGCTACTACGTATGCCATCTTTCAATGCTTACTTAAAAGGTGTAATTTCCTGGGGAGGGAAGGAGGGAAGGAGGGAGGGATATGTACGGGGTGGTAGTGACACATGGGATCATAGGATACTTACTCCTTGTGCTGAATATGCCAACAGCACAGACATTTCCAGTACTTGGAATGGTCCCTCACTTCATACTTCCTCGACATGATGAATTCTAATCCCATTCAAACATAACATTCACCCTGAATCTTCACCTAATCCATGGCAACCTGCCCTGACACACTTACTCTATCAGCTGTCATAATGACATCACAGCACCATTGAACACTCACTGTTTAAATTCCTTCTCTGTGAGGCAGAAACAGACATTGCCTCTGGGTAGTATTTGTCACACTTTTTTATATTGGAGAAAACTGATCAAGCTATTTTAGCTGGTGACATTTTACACACAAGATTTGTACAGTCAAGTATTTTGTTTTACACACTTCTTAAAATTTCTTAAAGAGCAGAAATTTCACGTTCCTGTTTGGATGACACTCCTGTAAACCGTCCTCTGGTAATTATGTAGTAAATCTCTTTGTGTGCTGTTTTAAAACTTGTCCTTCACCGAGATAATTTAAAGTCATTTTTCAGAAACTCATGAACAAAGCATTCCTTTTTACAGCTCAATATTTACATGGTCATGATGATAAAGGTTTCTTTATAATTTAGATGCTCTAACAGTATGTCCCATTTTGACAAAAAAAGAAATGTACTGACAATGGAGGTGTCCTAATCATAGAGGTATCCTGATTACAAAGTTGTTCTAACAGTAAGGTGTCCTTCTAACACAGGTGTCTCAATAATAAAAATGTCCTTCCAACACTGGTATCTTGATAAGGAATGTGTCCTGTGAAGACAGGTGCTTTGTTAAGAGAAGATTCCTGTCAACATAGGTAGGTGTCTCGATAATAAAAATGTCCTTCCAACACAGGTGAGGTGTTTTGATATTAGGAATGTCCTTCCAACACAGGTGTTCTGGTAATAGAAGTGTCCTGTCAACACAGGTGTTGTAATAATTTAAAGTGTCTTTCCAACACAGGTGTCTTAACAATAGAAGTGTATTTCAAACTCATGAGTCTTAATAACAGAAATGTCCTTTTAACAGGTGTCCTAACACCACAAGTGTCCTGTTACATAGGTGTTCTAACAACACAAGTGTCCTGACAATGAAGCGTCCTGATAACAGAGGTGTCCTAACACCACAAGTGTCCTGACAATAGAAGCGTCCTGATAACAGAGGTGTCCTAACACCACAAGTGTCCTAACAATGAAGTGTCCTGATAACAGAGGTGTCCTAACACCACAAGTGTCCTGTTACATAGGTGTTCTAACAACACAAGTGTCCTGACAATGAAGCGTCCTTTTAACAGAGGTGTCCTAACACCAGAAGTGTCCTGTTACATAGGTGTCCTAACAACACTAGAGTCCTAATAACAGAGGCTTCCAGATAGTGCAGGAGTCCTAACAATGCAAGTGTCCTGACACTAAATTGTCCTGATAACAGAGGTTTCCAGACAGTGCAGGAGTCCTAAAAGTACAAGAGTCCTGATCCCAGAGGTTTCCTGACAATAGTGGTGTTCTTGTAATACAGGGTCCACTTAGCATGTTCCCTGACAGCAGAAGTGTCCTTACAATATATCTGTCCTAACAATAAAAGTGACTTGATATCAGAGATTTTCCTACAGCTGAGGCCAAGTCAATATTCCGCAAAATCAACACTTCACACAGTCATCCTAAAATTTAATGGTCATAAATTCCACAAGCCTCCTTCAATTCTTGTCCATAATTAGAAAGCTGCCAAAAAACATGCAATATCCAAAGCGTCTTCAACGAAAGCTTCTCCATATTCTCACAAAAACAGTGGCAATATAATTTGTGTAATGGAACTCGTTCTGTAGAATCTGACAGAAATGATATTTCTTCATACCACAGAGACACAAACACGGAATATATCATACAGATTTAAAACACACTCCCGCAAAACATTGGTGTATTAAACATAGATACAATGTTTCAAGGAATAAGGGGACCGTTATGAAATTATCATCCACACATGAAATATGGCCTATTTCACATGATGGCTCAACGAGACCTACTTGGTGTCACAGGCTTGTAGCAATGCTTCCAGAGATAATATGTTTACTTGTCGATTCTGATTTTGTGAGTAGAACAGAATATTGGGTCATTCAATTTATCACACATTCCAGTATTACAACCAGCATTTCTAATACAGAATTCTCCAATATAGTAAATAGCTTGAGAAAGAGTTTTATGTCTTTGAATCCACAACACCAGAAAATCTTTGGTGAAGGACTATTTTCCACACAGGTCCCGACCTTTTTCCACACAGGTCCCGATCTTTTTCCACACAGTCCCAACCTTTTTCCACATATGTTCCGACCTTTTTCCACACAGGTCCCGACCTTTTTCCACACAGGTTCCGACCTTTTTCCACACCTGTCCCGATCTTTTTCCACACAGTCCCCACCTTTTTCCACACAGGTTCCGACCTTTTTCCACACAGGTCCCGACTTTTTTCCACACAGGTCCTGACCAGAGAATATTTTCCACACAAGTCCTGACCAGATACTATTTTCCACACAGGTCCTGACCTTTTTCCACAAAGGTCCTGACCAGAGACTATTTTCCACACAGGTCCTGATTGGAAACTGTTTTCCACATGGTTCCTGACTGCAGACTATTTTCCACACAGGTCATGATTGGAGTCCTGACACCAGATCATTATAGACACAAATGTTCTAATTTGAGATTTGTATCGTCCATATTATAGGTCCTGATAAAAAGGTTACTATATCCACAAGGATCCCACTTCAAGATTATTATCCACACCGGTCCTAATTGGAGATTACCTTGTCTGGAAATTGTTTCACAAGTCCTAATTGGAGACAATCCTAGGGCGGTTTTCCGTTCGTGTCCTGACACTATAACACTAACCAGGGATATCCCAATTTGAGACTACAATTTCTGATTTTTAAAGACTCATTATAGAATTCAGAATATTAAGTTGCTTCAATTTTGTTTAAAAGAGTATCTAAACCGAAAAACTAAATCTGAAATACCTTAATGTCTTGAGTATAAGAACGGTTGACACACTTTCAAGGAAATGCTGTAGTTTTTCTGATTTCAAAACACAGCTTAAGAGAGATATTACATCTGTTGTGTTTGAGCTAGCTCTTATTCCCAGAAGTAATGTTTCAGATTAAGTCCAGGAGATTTTCTGTTGTTTTACCACCATAATTACATTTATGAATCCATATAGAGATATGCAAGCCTCTAAAACATATTTGTTTTGATATACCAAAGATATATCTGTAGTTAGCAATAGTATTCTTGTATAAACATCAGAGATACCGATTTTGTAGCGTGGTGTGTCTGCTTAGGCTATCAGTTTGATACCATGCACATTATACAAGGCAGAGTACACAAGTTCAATTTAGCCAAATCTCCTATAGTCTCCTGTCCAGTAACGAGCTAACAGACACTGCAGCTCCAGAAGAATCACTTTTTTTCCATCACATCTAAATGTGAATTATCTCCCAGTCTCCTAAGTTTGTCTGCACCAACATCTTACATCACCATTTAGGGATATCAACCTTCCACGAGGAAAAAAAACAACAAAATTGTCGGTGGATTTTGGAGACAAACCGCTTGGCTAATGGAGCATTGATCAACAGCAGAACTGTTTAGAAACTGTGAAGAAAGAGGAAAGATACAGTCCACTGTTAGGTCTGCTGTCAGCTCTTGTAACACACACAGCGACACCATGTGGAAATATTGTGTAATCAATTATATAAATATTCCTAGCAAATCTTACAGTCCAGGGTTCAACTGCCGCAGACTTACACCTGTGAATATTGCCATCACTTTATCTCCACACTGGGTAATAATATTCCCCTGCATGTCAAGTTAAATTAGTTACAAAAAAGGCACATGCAGAAAAACAAATTAAAATATGATCTACGTATAAAGGATAACCATGTAAGTAAAATATTAAAAACTTTATATAAAATTCATTTTTGTATTGTTTGCAATTTCAAGAGAGCTCTTTCAATTTCCATTTTTTTAAATCAATGAATTTTTTTTTTAAAACAAAATAAGCCATTTCATATAGCCTTTTCTTTTCTCATCGCTTATCATTGAAACTTTATTGAGTCTGGGACAAAAGCCTCTTACAGCGCAGTTTATTTCTTTTCTGATTATAACCATAAACAATGTATTGTGTAAATAAATAAAATAGCAGTTTTTAAATCAATACCTTACAAATTTTTTATTCGTAAGATTTGTAACATACTACAAGTAATGCTTCAACCTACCGTGTGCTTATCCGTTTTTGCAAGACACACATATTTGTTGAAAGGCTACTACGATATATCTGATTTTATTTGTAAGAAGAATGTCTTTAGGAAGTTCTTGATCATTCACCGAAGCAAGTCTTCATATTCTTTTATGTTTCTTTTGTAATAATCCATTTTGCTTGACAACCTAATATCCGCTGTTCTGCACAATACGCACAAATCTGACACTGTAATTCATGTGGGTGTGAACACTATCTCAGCAGAGTCAGCAGAGCACACAAGATATCTCAAATGTTCTATTGTTAAAAGAGATTTATCCAATTTTTATTCAAATGTATCATCTTCTCTTTTTTTGCAATTAATAACAATTATTAAAAAGCTTTTTTGACATTTCTTTTTCCTGTTAATCGCAAATATTTTCAACTAGGAATTTATTTGCAAATTATTACAAGACACAGAAAACTTTTTTGTTGAAAGTTAAAACCCTACACAATGTTATTTCAATCTCCCTTCAATTATTCCAAGAGTATTTTAACTTGAAGACAGCTAACAGAATTAAAAAAGATTCTTGAATTTAAAAAAAAAATCAAAACTCAACTTAAACACACCAAAATGAAATATTAACTCTTATTACAATATATACAATGAAAATATCTTCACTGTTCAAATTTTCTCGGAAAGATTTGTTTTGAAATGTATCAACATTTAAAAAGCTAACCAAGCTTACTATAACTGGAAATATATCTAAAACTGATGACAAATAATCCAATATTTCATATGAAGTGTAAAGAAATTCTTGTATATCATCACAGCAGTAGACTTTTACAGACTGATCACTTAGCCCATAGGATGCTAATCTGTGGTCCCTGTGTGGTAATATATGACAAAAATCAATTGCAATTGTACTTGATTTTAAAGTTAAGTGCTTACTGATGTATCAAAACTGAAGTCAAAAAGTAAAGATGAATCAATATTTTCATTTAACAAAAATTTCTATAATGTATAATCTTGTATGTTTTTTACTGATGAAACAAAAACACTGGAAATTAAAAGATATATCTACTTTTCTGATAAACCAGAATCACACTATGATGTATCAAATCACTGTTCCAGCCATCTTCAATGATGAAGGTGAGAATATATAGTGATCTAATAAAATACATTTCTTCTCAAATCTCTTATTCATTTTTATATTTTTCAATGAACCTTTTCTGAAAACTGAAAGATTTGTTTCAAATTTTAAAAATATTTTGGGGGGTTGGGGGGGAAATTGAGCCAGTATCAGATTCTGTGTGTGGCAATCTTGCTGATGTGATGGAGGAAAGTAATCTGCCTAGATTATATACCATTTTACTACATGTAAGCCTGAAGCATCTCTACCATACAAATGGTGGACAGCCATGCATCCGACACCGACTCAATATGGCATTCAATCCAACACTGTAAGCAACAGCCTGCATAACTTAACCCAGTTTTGATACAAACGCTAGATTGCCCTGGAGAAAAAGTCATCTGTCTTAGGACAGCCAAAATCTGATTATCTATCACCGTGGCTAAATGTATCATTGATGGAAGCTTAAGTGTTATAGGGAAACTGTAACCTCTGCAGTCAGAATGGAAAAGACTGTCAAAAAACTTTCTATACTGACATCACAGATGATTTGATCAAATAAAGTCATATGTTTGTCAGAGAACCTGTCTATACTGGCATCAAAGATGATTGATCAAGCCACAATTTTGTCAGAGAACCTGTCTATACTGACATCACAATTGATTTGATCAAATAAAGTCATATGTTTGTCAGAGAACCTGTCTATACTGGCATCAAAGATGATTGATCAAGCCACAATTTTGTCAGAGAACCTGTCTA